TAGGTTGTTGTTGACAACATTTAAAAAATCAGACTGAACTGGCCGGTTCAACCGTGAACCAAATTGGAGAACCCGTACTATCTTTTAAAAAATGTGAATATGATTTTATATTTTTTCTTCTCGGGTTATAGTTCCCACACTCTGCCGGTCATTTTGTCATTCCAAGCAATATAAAATTCTATTTTTTATATGATATTACTATTTTTTATGACGTTAATTTCGTCATTCCAAACAATATAAAATTCATCATCACAGTAACCAATTAAAAGAACACTTTCTAGGCTTAGGATGTCATTTTGTTTTAGCTATAGAATCGAAGCATACTAACGATAAGCAAAGTTTTTTTGTGTGCGGGAATTTACCTTTTTACTTACCCAAACTTCTTCTAGTAACTTGTCATCGAAAGGAACACATGGTACTCAATTGATCTAGTAAGTTGTTGTTGACAACGTTTAGAAAATCAGACCAGACAGGCCCGTTCAACCATGAACCAAATCGGAGAACCCGTACTGTCTTTTGAAAAATGTGAACATGATTTTATATTTTTTCTTCTCGTGTTACAGTTCCCACACGCCGCCGGTCATTTTGTCATTCAAACAATATAAAATTCTTTTTTTTTATGTGATATTTCTATTTTTTATGACGTTAATTTCATCATTCCAAACAATATAAAATTCATCATCACAATAACCAATTAAAAGAACACTTTCTAGGCTTAGGATGTCATACTGTTTTAGCTATTAGAATCAAAGTATACTAAGAATAAGCAAAGTTTTTTTGTGTGCGGGAATTTACCTTTTTACTTACCCAAACTTCTTCTAGTAACTGGTCATCGAAAGGAACACATGGTACTCAATTGATCAAGTAGGTTGTTGTTGACAACGTTTAGAAAATCAGTCCGGACTGACCGGTTCAACCGTGAACCAAACGGAGAACCCGTACTATCTTTTGAAAAATATGAATATGATTTTATATTTTTTCTTCTCGGGTTACAGTTCCCACACGCCGCCGGTCATTTTCCCAATTCAAAAAACAATATCAAGTCAACACTTAAGTAGAGACATGCTTTCTCCGGATTCCAAATCCCATTAAATAGAAGAGGGCAATTTTTTGGGATTAGAGCCAACTAAAAAGCAATTTATTTATTTATTTATTTTTATATTTATATTATTGTATTATTATTGCATTATTTAGGTTATATTTTAATTAATTTTTATATTTATTTTGTCATCATGTTCAACTCTTATTAAACCAATGAACCTTTCCTTTTTTCAATTTGATGTTCGATCTGATTTTCACAACCTGTGTTGTTGACAAGTATGATTCTGATTTTCATAAGTTTGTTAAAGAGATTAGTGATTTTGCATACGTTTTAATAAATGATTCTTTGAATGTCATATATTGCGTCATAATTTATCTTAACAACTATTTAGGATTCCAAGAAAAGACACCAAAAACTAGACCTTTTAGCATATAACGTAAGTGTATGTGCCGATCAAATAATATATAATGAGTAAAGTATAGCGTCGTGGCACTGCTTCCCAATTTTTTTTTTTTTTTTTTTTGAATGCTATTTTTCAAAATTTTCCTTCTTCACATTCTTGAAGTCTATCTCGGATAATTTGAGTGATATCTTCTTAAATCATTGAATATTTGTGATAGCAATTCACTTAAAATTTGTTCTAAATTTATCTATACCATGCTTATTTTATGGAAATTTTATATTTTATTATTATCAAAAACTTTGCATCAAGCATTGATCATAGCAAACTTGGTTGGTTTTTATATTAGTAATTTTCATTTCTATTATTAAAATATGCCTGATATGATGGTTTATGCGAATGAGATGCATTCCTTTTGGACATGTTTAGGGTCCGGTGCAGTTAATTCTTTTGATGGTTTTATTGATTTGTAAATGAGGGCTCTTATTTGTTGTTGTGCTTATCAAGTTACCTTGTCCATATCTGTTCTTGCCATGCTAATTTCGTGGATGCTATTTGTATGTCACACTTGTCTACTTGCTATAATATATATTTCAGGAATTTGAACAGAGAAGGGATTTTATTAATTGATTTCTTTCAAAAAAATGTTGTAACGGCCCAAACTCTCATCCATCGAGATGCTTTATGTTTTGATATAATTGTGTCACAGTTTTGTCCTATTTCAAGAATCCCAGAGTGTTCCCCACGAGCACTTTTTGGGTCTTTCATGAAATTTCAACCTTTACATCAAAATGCATCTCGATATTTAAGAACTCAGTTTTATTTTATTCAAGGGTTCCATAATTTTTTTCACTAAGCCAATTAATATCCCCATCTTTCTTTTAACCTAGAATAATCTTCGGACAAATATTAGTATCTTTAAATCAGTGTAGCAGATATCTTTTGTGATAGTGTGAACTCTCTTCGATTGAGATGTTATCCTTTTTGGCCAAATGGTCTCATGATTTTTGTCCCATTGGCTTAACTTGTCAAGCCACCCACTCCTGGAGTACTCCCGCAGGAGCAAGAACACGTTTAAATTTAGAGTTTTTAATGAAATTACAACCGTTATATCTAAAGACGTCTTGATGTTTAAGAGATCAACTTTATTTTATTTAAGTGGTTTCACAAATTTAAAGACTAGCAACCTAGAAATGTAAATGTTCATAAATAGGAAACTTGAATGATTTGAATAAAATTTCTCACTCCAGCTTCTATCTTGGGTAATTTGGATTTATGATTTTATAATATGTAATATATGTCGGACATACTTTCAGAAAAAGTCGAATTGATGCACGTTTGATTTTTTTCTTGTTTTGGTGAACTGTAGTTTATGTTCATCTCAAAATAATTAGTCATTATCAATGTTGTAGAAATTGACCCAAATTTTCTTCCTTCACATAATCGTTGCCTCAACTTTATCTATCACCCTTGCAATCTTATTTATATGCACCTTTTATAGAAGATCATGCATAATAATTCAAAGGCACAATATTAATTTTTAGTTTTATGAATGATGATTAGCGATATTTGGTGGTGTGTTTACATTCAGTTCGTCGACCAGACGTGTTGGTCAACGTACGTAATAATTTTTCTATGCGATAATGGAAAATGAAAACTATCAAGGCATGGAGGTCATTAAACTTGTTTTCCTAGGCCGGCAATCATGTTGCACATAACACAACACACAAATCTTATGAATTTACAAATCTAATTCTTAAATTTTAATTTTTTATATTTTTAACTCAATTTATTTACTCATGCAAAATATATCATTATTATTAACTTTTTAAAAGTGAGATGTACCATTTGATGAGCGCATGGAATGGCATGATGGTAAATATCAAAAAAGTTTAGGAGTTGCATGTTATTATGTTAGAATTGTTTGGCATGTATGTAAGTTTATTTAATGTAGTGGTTTTGTAGGTAAGATTGCTAATCAGTATAAGCAATCTGTTACTTTTGATAATTATTGAACCTTAGATTTGTCAAAAATTATGCGTAAGCTAATTGGTCATAAGAGCTAACATCGATCATTCAAATTGTATGTTCAATTTTGGGATCTCACTTGGAATTATTTGCCTTCTTCATTTTTCGCTTTCCTTTAGATTTTAAAAAAATTATTCGGACGAGAAAGCATAATTATTACGTTGCTGATTGGAAAATGTTTTGTTGAAAAATTAACATAATGAATATCAGAAGGGCATTTACGTACAGGCCCCTCAATTCTTAGGTTTTTACATATCTGACACCTTTTTTTTTTTTACATTTATACCACCCAAATTATTCATGTCACATTGCAAATATCACTCTTAAGTGATATATATATATATATATGACAGATGAAAAAATTGAAGTGCAGGTATTAGATATGTAAATAAATAGAAATCAAGTGGTATGTTTGTAAATGTTCTTTATAATTAATTTTTTTACTTTGAAGTAAATTTAACTTTATTGAAACATTAGCTTGTTAAAAGTTTCACTTCAGTTCTATTTGAATTGAGCAGTTGTATATTTATCTAAATTATAAGTTATTTTAATTGTTTTTTTTCTTCATTTTGGTTAAATTTGAAGTAACTTTTTATAGTATTTTAAATTAGAAATTTCATCTTGCCCTGATTCATGTTCTAAGTTGGGAAAATTTTCAAGCTGATTCATATAGAAGAAAGTCTTATATATTGGTGTAAATGAGACGAATTTGAGCGAGCTTGAGACTTGTACATGTTCGACTCATTCAAATTTTTAGTACTTATGTTGGGCTCGTGTTCGAAATAACTTGTGCATAACATGTTCGTGTTTCGCTCGATTTAAATTCATTTATTTGAATGAAGTTCGTGTTTGGAGTAAGTGAAATAATAATTTTATTAAATTTTAATAAATCATATATTATGCCCAATTTAATTAAATTCAGCTAGTGTTTTTGCATAAGCATGATGCTGATTTTGAAATTTTTAGATTACTTTTTTTTTTTTATATAGAGTACAAATGTTATTTTTATTTTTCTTGATATGGGATTAATGCAGTAATATGTGGAATCCGCCCATGAGAATTGGTGGGGGGAGAGGGAGATTTTTTGGGGCATTTACATGCATTCCACCCAATTCTTATGTATTTACATATCCAACACAAATTAATAAAATATAATTCTTTTTAAAATATAATATTAAATTTAATTATATATAAATATTATAGAAATATCATGTTATTAATTAATTAATTAGAGTCAAATCAAGCTAAATAATCGAATTAATAATAATGTAGCCATAAACTATATATTTTTTATAATAAATTTGTTTTTTTTATTATAGATTTCTAATTTTATTCAATTTGTATTTGTGTATTTACATTTGTAAATGCCCTAATAAAATAAATGTAATATATAATTGAAAAAAATTAAAATATTAAGTATTTATCTAAGAATATTATTACATCTTAAAACATATTTCATAATAACTAAAAAATAATAATTTTAATATGCTTTAGAAACATCTAGGCTCCAAGGCCTCGACCACTATAAATTACCTGGGCCTCATCTTTTCCTTCCGTTCGATAATTTGGAGGAGTCTAGCTCTCGAGCATGGCGTACGTTGAGAAAGGTATGGGATTTCTTCTCCTTCCTAAAGCGTTAAGGATCACGATGTTAACTTCCATCCTTTTCTAATTGTGGGTACCGTTTACCCCAATATGATCATGTCTGCATTCGACTTAGGTTATTTATTGTGTGTGGGCGTTTTGTGGCCGACGATTTCGACCTTATTTGCAGTTGATTAATTCCAGATTCTCAAGAAATTACGGGGATCGGATTTAAGATAGAAAACTTGTTGCCGTGATTGATTTTTATTTTTATTTCATTATAGGAATTTGATGTTGTGGTGCCTTGGAGAATCAGAATTACTTACTACTCATTGGCCTCGAAGATTATTTTTAATTTCACTTTTAATTGCTTGGAACTTCCTTTAAATTTAGGTCTATTAGCTGTGGAGGAGAATAGGAGCATATTGGTATAGTGAGAAAATTTGATTCTTTTTACTGGTCTCTTATAGTTTTGCTTTTTGAGCAAACCCTATTTGATGGTGATGTTGGAAGTTTATTGAAAGCCAAAGTATTGGTTTGTTTTGGGACACAAAAACTCTTGAGATTTGTTGTTAAATTGGATGAACTATGAGATTCAGGAGCATCAAGCGCTAAAATTTAATGGAATATCCACGCTGCTTCAAAAATTTGATATAAACTGTGTGATGGAAATTATCTTTAATGCTTGGATTTGTATTTTCCTCTTTGAACATTTAGTTCAGCAAGCACATTCTATCATATTGAAAAATCATGATTTTTATTCCTTATTTATTTTTTCTTAAATGGCCAGAAGATGTTTTGTAACATGTGATAGATAAAGCTAATTTTATGGTGATTCTTAGTGTTCTTTATTTTGTTCCTGATTTTTAAGTAATAGCCTTTTGAGATGCATCGATATTTTGAGCTGAAGACGTGTTTTATTTTTTAAGTGACTAAAATATTATTAACAGATTATTAAATCTGTCGCTGTTGTTTGTCTTTAGATGGTTTTCTCATTTACTGGATGCCAACTCAATTTGGATTGCTTTATAGTTATTCAATTTGAAGGCCATGATTTTTTTTTTTTTTGCTTACTCTAAATTATAGAACCTACTTTTATTCATTTGTTATAGATGAAAAACATCTAGGCTAAAGAATTTGTTAAAGGGCCTTCTTTTGCTTTAGTTCTTGTTTACTTTTATGTCTGAAGTTTGTCTACATGATCATTAATTGGGAAGTTGTGATTTTGAGAGCTAATCCTGTTTTATGAGTTAATGAAAGAAATATTTTCTTAAAGGAGATATTGTTATCATTAAAGTTTAGTTGGTTTTGACATCAAGCATAAAAGTGATCCTATTTTCAAATCAACATTGAGAACACAATCAATTACGACTTTCTCCTTCCTTATTATCCCTCTTTTAATGTTTATGGAGGTCTGGAAAAGAAATGTAGATATTTCATCAACTAGTCTAAGATCATAGCTTTCATGGTGGTTTCGTTGATGTGATAAAACCTTATCGAATAGAAGGCTTGGTTTGAAAACCATCTTGCTAGGATGTATTGAAACCCCATTTTATTTTTGTTTGACCAAAAATTTCTAGGGAGAATCAATATAGTATTTTGCTAGGACTTGTCATAGGAGAAGGATTTTCTTTGGATTATGTGGATGCCACAACAATTGGATCACTTGAGCCTACTTCTAGGAATAACAATGAACCACGCAAATGTAATTCTTCATACTCAAACTGAGGTTGCAGATGCTACTATGTCATTCATCAATTACTATATTTCTTACACCCAAAGTTAGGCATATTTGGTCACTATTGATGAAGACTCAATAGAGGTTGAGAGTACAACCATTAGAGTGCCTCATAGGCATATTGGGTAATTGAATATAAGAATTGTTGGAATTCTCGTATTGGGTGAAACAATGAGCACTTGTTCTTAGATTAGAAAAGAAAGCGTTTGATACAGAGGCATCACTCCTCCAATTTTTTGTTCTATGAAAAATGTGTCAGGGCGCTTTGTGGAGAGATTGGGTTGTTGCTAACAAACATGGATGGGCTTCCCTTGCCTATCAAATGTACTCCTTGGAGTCAAACAAAAGGCATGTCTTATTTTCAAATTGCTTTTATATAATAGATTCAACTTATTTTTTTAACAATTTATCAAAATTAGATATACCCGATATGGCTCTAGACTAATGTGTAGTATGAAATTAGACAAATTTCTTATTTTATCGTAGTAGTTGTAGTAGAAATTTCTTAGATCTGAGAGTCAAGTGGGATTTTATGTCATTGGATATTTAATTTGATACAAGCAATTAGTTCTCTTAATGCTTTTATCCATGGTGTTTCATATAGATCAAGTTATAAATGACGAGCAAGATAATTTTAAAGCAAGCACAGAAGGGTAAAATATTCAATTATTGAAGAGTTTGAGCTTCCATAGAGAAAATAATCTCTTATATATGCAACGACTTCGTGTTGAATGTCACATTTACGTAATTCTTTGTGAACTAGTGCCTTCCTTGTGGTGTACCCGCAAACCAATATAAAGGGATTTCGAGCTAAGCTAAGGAAAGTGATTCACTCCAACTCTAGGATGAACACCAATCCCTCAGTTTAGAGATTCTCTCCATCGCAGTGCTACCCTTTTGCATAAAAGACAGCTCTCGATTTGTCTCTCAATTTATTGTCTCTTGCCTTCTTTTGTACGACTCTTGGTGGGCTGCAAGTGCTTCTCAGGAGAGAATAGACTCCATTATTTGGTGAGATCTACTCCTTTTTTCTTGTTCATTATTGTTAAGAGAATTTGGTCTATTGAGATTAGTCGTGATCCCTAACATTCTTCATCAATCTAGTTTTTCGTCGAATGACCACGCTTGGGCCAGGGCCATACAGTGCATAAAACCTTCTAGAAACAGATTACCCATGTTGTGCCTTGTAGTTGAAGATCTCAACATTGGCTTTCAAGGCCCAATACATGAGTAGTACGTTGGGCACATGTAGAAGAGGTCTTGTTATAGGTGGGTTAAAGTAGACCTAGAAGATTACAAAGAAGGGAAAGAAGATCTTATTGGGGCTCGCTAGTTGGATCTGATTGGTTGTTATGGTTTTCATCTAGCTGATATAGCCTTAGAATGACGTGTAGCATGAAATTAGACAAATATCTTGTTTTATCATAGTAGTTGTAGCAAGTTCTTAAATCCAAATAAGATTATATGTCATTGGAAATTTAATTTGATATAGATAATTAGTTCTCTTAATGGTTTTATTCATAGTGTTTCATATATATCAGGTTATAAATGATGAGCAAGATAATTTTAAAGCAACCGCAAAAGGGCAAGATATCCAATTATTAAAGAGTTTGTGCTTCCATAGAGAAAATAATTTCTTTTATATATGCAACGACTTCGTGTTAAATGTTACATTTACGTAACTCTTTGTGAACTAGGGCCTCCCATGTGGTGTACCCGCGGACCAATATAAAGGGATTTTGAGCTAAGCTAAGGCAAGTGATTCACTCCAACTCTAGAATGGGCACCAATCCTTCAGGGCAGAGCTTCTTTCCATCGAAGTGCTACCCTTTTGCGTAAAAGTTAGCTCTCAGTTTGTCTCTCACTGTTTTGTCTCTTACCTTCCTTTGTCCAACTCCTGGTGGGCTGCAAGTGCTTCTCAGGTGAGAATAAACTCCATTATTTGGTGAGATCTACTCATTTCATCTTGTTCATTATTATTAAGAGAATTTGGTCTATTACGATTACTCATGATCTCTAACATTCTCCATCAATCTAGTTTTTCTTGGAATGACTATGCTTGGGCCTAGGGTCATACAGTGCCTATAACCTTTTAGAAAGAGACCACCCATGTTGTGCCTTGTAGGGTAAGATCTGAACATTGGCCTTCAAGGCCCATTGCATGGGTAGTAGGTTGGCACATGTTGACAAGCTTTTGTTAGAGGTGGGTTAAAGTAGACCTACAAGATTACAAAGAAGGGAAAGAAGAGCTTATTGGGGCTAGGTTGTTGGATCAGAATGGTCGTTGTGGCTTTCATCTTATTGATCTGTCTTTAGAGTGATGTGTAGTATGAAATTAGACAAATATCTTATTTTATCATAGGAGTTGTAGCAAGCTCTTAGATCCAAGAATCAAGTGGGATTTTATGTCATTGGAAATTTAATTTGATATAGGCAATTAGTTCTCTTAATGGTTTTATCCATAGTGTTTCATATAGATCAGGTTATAAATGATAAGCAAAATAAGTTTAAAGCAAGCGCAAATGGGTAAGATATTCAATTATCAAAGAGGTTGAGCTTCCTTGGAGAAAATAATTTCTTATATATGCAACGACTTCGTATTGAGTGTCACATTTACGCGATTCTTTGTGAACTAGGGCCTCCCATATGGTGTACCCTCAGGCCAATATAAGGGGATTTCGAGCTAAGCTAAGGAAAGTGATTCACTCCAACTCTAGGATGAACACCAATCCCTCAGGGTAGAGCTTCTCTTCATTGAAGTGCTACCCTTTTGCATAAAAGGCAGCTCACAGTTTGTCTCTCACTTTCTTGTCTCTTAGTTTCCTTTATCCAACCCTTGGTAGGCTACAAGTGCTTCTCGGGAGAGAATAGACTCCATTATTTGTGAGATCTACTCCTTTCTTATTGTTCATTATTTTTAAGAGTAGCATTCTCCATCAATCTAGTTTTCGTGAAATGACCACGCCCGCGTTGGGCCCTGGGGCTTGTGGTTTTTTTTTTTTTTTGAACAAAATAAGATTTTAAAATTTAAATTTAATATAATATATAATGTAATTTTATTTTTGTGAAAATGGTATTTTTTATTATTTTTGGAAAATGATGAGACTAGATAGATCTCCTATATCTAATAGTCTAAATAACTGAGCATGATACCATAAATGATATATCATCTCGAAGGATGAATATATCACTTATTGGTAGACTTAACTATCTAAATTTAAAAGTTTATGGCTTTATTTTGGTCTGCGAATTTTATAACCGACAAATTCCTTTATCTAATACATA